GGGGACCTTGGCTATCCGTCGATCTATATGGCCAAAAGCCCGAGGCGTTCTTCTTTGGTTCCCCCGATCCGCATACCGACATCCCCAGGCTGGTCCTTGTGCGGAGAAATGGCACATTGACCGAGTTTGTGCCCGATGCTGGTGAAGGGGCAGATTTTGGAGTTTGCCGGAGCCCCTTAACCTGTGTCCGACCCCTTATTGAAAAGCGTAGGTTCTGGCTTTGCTTTGGGAGTACGTAGAGAGAATACTGACACGACATCGTTTCAATAGGAAGCAAACAGACGGCGCCATTAGTCGCAATCATTACGGCATCTCGACGAGGATGTGTTCACGCGGCAACTCGGGAGACGTTATCATGGAACTCCCGCAGTGTTCAGCTAGAAGGCTTGGAACAAGACGAGGTGCATCAGGTAGTCCCGCTCGCCTCATTGGGTCTCTTCTTGATTGCGGGTGTCAACCGTGTTCATCTCGTCAACCTTGACGGCTACAGTCTTGTCCACACATTTTCCACGGAACGCATGAACCAGCGGTCTCTCCAAAGCGCATTTTTCAATGGACAGTCTTCGCAGACAGGGGTCAAGGGTTTGTCATGGTTCATCCTATGTTACACCGAGGCAGATTCGGGAGATTGCGTGGTACAAACATATACACCCCCGGGTGAAAACGACATGATTTGCTTTCACAGCTCTGCTACGCCGACAACGAGGGGCTGGTGTTCGTGGGAATCAGTCAAGGAGAGCCGGAGACATATCGAAAACCCAGGCTCTTGGAGTGTTCTATCAGACGGTAGTGTAGTAGGGATACGGCAAAAGTCAGCTCGAGTTCTCGATATCGAAAGCAACGGGCGACGCAAAACAGAAGGGCTTCGGCATCGATCTCCGCGCAAGGAGGCGGCGCGAGACCTCTTCGGACGGTGGGAGATATGGACAGCACCACAAAGCGGCCAGCTAAGGACGGACGAAACACGACCACTCTTCCAGGACGACGAGAAGGCAGGACATCTTATTGTGTCAGACCTAGGACCAATGGTCAGAGTGGGACAGCGATCTGTTGCATTCAGCTTTGGAAATGTGGTAAAGTTGGTTACAGTGGGCGGCCACGAACGATTCGAGAGCAGTATAGATGACAGGGCTCTTGAGCACCTGAATGTTGGAAGCAGGCGTCGAAAACCAGGCGCAATGGTGCGGCCTAGAGCTTGGACGTGATGGAGCAGACGGGACAGCGTTTTAGTCATGGGACATGACATTTGGCGTTTGGCTTTTAGGTCATCTTGGCATTGGACATTGGATGCATAACGGAACGGTCTGGTTGGAATAGAAGGAAGGCGTACATGTGGTCAATCGGTTGTATAGCTCGTTCGGATGATTCCCCGACTTGGATGGAGTACAGTTCAAGGGAGCTTTAGGGACAGGCGTCGTACATGGGTTCAACCGGCGTCACATGCCATAGACGGTGGGAAACGAAGCTCATAGACGTGGGCTAACGAATACATTGACTTGCTTTGGCCTTTGACGTTGGACGTTGAGATTTGAGAAGATGGGGCTGGAGAATTCAGCTTGGGGTGGCACCCACAGGCCGAACCGGATCCATATGGATGCTGATGGCTCTGCAGGTAAGACTCCAGAGTCCTTTTCCAGGCCCACAGTAAGCCAGGGCAGAGCCATGGATGTCTAAGACAGCCGCAGAGGCGGAGGAGCAAACGTTTGAAGGGAACCTGAAGCTTTGTTTCACATGGTCTCTGTATCACAGTGGCAGACTTTGGCGCTTTGGGCCTGGTGCGGCAATGCCGTCTCTTGACGTGCAGGAGACGGGTCCCTGCGGACACTGTATCTGTTACAGTAATGGGCCATGATTGAGGACGAGAGACGATATCATGGATGGAGCACAGGGAATGCCAGGGAATAGTCAGGAGAACCAGACCTGTTGGTTCACCGCTACTCTGACGCGTAGGTAGGTAGGTAGGTTAGGCTCGGGCACGGAGGTGAGCGAGGCGACGATACGAGCAACTGGCTGGAGGCTATTGAGAAAACAAGAGGTTGGTGTTGGTGTTGGTGGTGGCCGCTTTGGGCTGCTTCGCGTGTAAGTGTGTCCTGGCTGGGTCAGGTCTGGTGCATGCCTCCAGAATGGGCGATGCTGGGGGGGGGGGGGGGGGTTCGGGATTGGACCATGGCAGGCGATTGGGCTTGATGGCGATCGAGACCTGAGAGCTACGTGGTCAATGAGGGTGGCCGCATAAAAAGAGGCCACCCGCGATATCGGGCGGATGGTTATTGAGTCGATGAGGATGAACGATGCAAGATCTTGGGCGAGATAATTGAGGTGGTTGGGGAGTGCAGGGTAGATGATGATTGGAGGAGGACGGTGCACTAGACGTAAAAGGATGGGATGGAGGGCAGTGAGCTGGATGGAATATTGGATGATGTGAGTATTGAGCACTGATGAAATGGCATGCAAGCTCTTCTTGGTATCGGGAGACACTGAGTTGTAAGTCAAGTCAGGCTCCATGCCATGTCATCGGTCCAATGTAAAGACATGATGCACGATGGTACCTAGGCTTGCCATAGGCGGGGGATTAACTACCTACGTGGAGCACAGAGACGCCCAAAGAACAGACAGGGGTGGCTTCATGTCATGATGGCATGGCGAACCTGAAGCTGATAGGGTGAGACTAGGATCTACCAGCCAACATGATAGTTGCGTAAACGTGCGTAATACCAACGGCCATTTAGGTTTCCGAGTCTCGAGGTGGTTGACACAAGATCGCAGACAGTGAGACGTTGCTGTGATGTCAAGCCAAGGCGATGGATGAATGGATTGGATGAGCTAGAAAGGTCTCGGGAGAACCCCCCCGTGTTTCTCCTTCGCTTCGCCTGCGTGTCACATCGTGCGTGTCCCTCCGTACCTACGTTAGCTTGTAATCATCCCTTGACTCTGCTTCCCTTTTTTTCTGGGTCCTCATGCGCACGTACGATCTGCTGGCTGACATTTTGATGCCCGTCATGTTTTTTCGGGCAGGGTACAGCTGACAAGGGTATCATCAGAGAGAGAAGGAGGATTTGCACAAAGGGAAGAGACGGAATCGAAGCCGCAAGGAGGGAGGACAGAAGGGGAGGGAAGTACGAAACGGAGTATTCGTATTAAACATGGCGAACGAGGCGTGTAAGTGAGCGGATGTCGCGTATAACAAGAAGAGAAGACTCGAGTCAAGTCGGCAAAAAGTCCAGAAGAGGAAACTGGGCGAGATTAGATGAGCCGTGATATTTGAATCACATGGGAAATCATTTTCCTTTGGCCGGCAAAAGAAACAAGGCTCCATGATTCCTTCCCCGTTACGTTGCTCATCATCATGTCCACGATCATGAATGAAGAGGAAAAAAAAAAAAAGAGAGAGAGGGAAGGAACGCGCCTGTCGTGAACAAAGACCTCATTTCCACCCGATCTTGCCGAGCGACATAATTTCTTTTCCTCTTTTCTTTTTTAAACTCTTGTGAAGCAAAAATCCAACCTCGTCCCCGCCGCCAACGACAGCCTCATGGCACTTTTTATTTTTTTTCTACTCTTGGCCAGCTTTTTTTCTTGTGGTTCTTTTTCTCGTGCTGGCTCCTCCTGTTTTGTCCGCCCGCAGTAAGGTTCAGGTCCCAAGGAGCCGGGTTCCCCGTACGGTTACCGCGTCGTGCCGCGTCGCCCCGTGCGTTCAGTGTGCGTGTTATTTTTGTCTTCTCTGTCTGTGGTCTCATCTCCAACCTCGAATATTAATTTTCTCTGCTCATATCTTATATCTGCGAAATATTGAAATCCATCACTGTCCGTTTTCCTCGTACGGTTCGCATCTTCAAGATTCGGCCCATCAGCATCAGCATCGACTGCAGCGGTTGGAGCTGCCCTGACAGCACACCCTTGCGGTTCATCGATTTGGCGCGGCTTTTGTTTACTCACTCACCAATCGTTTCGCCTCTTGCATCTGCCTCAACTGCTGTACAGCCAGCACCTAGAAAGCATTGACATCTGCTGAACGCGTGACACCTCTCGAGCAATTCATCCGAAGCTTTGAACTCGTCAACAGCATCATTCAGTCGTCTTTCGATTGGACCAAGCGTCAGTCATCCGTCCTTGTCCCTCGTCACCGTACCGTTTCTCAAAGCTCCCCACCCGAGACTTCGACAACTGCTACCCGCATTCCGTCGTAGTGCCTGGTTCTATCGCCAACATCCTCAAGGACTCGATCCGACTAGACAAGCCCCTGGCCACCTGCACTGGCGCCCAGTGGTGCATTGGCGATAGTGGTGCCTCTTTCGGGCTCGGGGTCCCTTGTCTAGCCTGACAGGCCACCTCGCAGACCCAGTCTTGGGACAAAGACCCCCAGTTGGCAGCCCGCTGACCGTCTTGCTAGGCCTGTCGCCCGCGCTGCTCACCGCCTGCCCTGCCCATTCGCTGCACCTGAGGACGCCTCGGCTTCTTGCTTTGGACCTGACTGCACCCACGTCTCACGCTCTCTCTGCCTGCTGGGCGACTCTCACTCACACTCGCTCGTTCGTTCGCGCTCACACCTCAACCCAGCGCGCGACTGGCCGGCCGCTATATCAACATCCCCCAACGAGCCTGCTGTCCTGTCGTTCCTCCGCCATGCTATCCGGTGTCGCCGCCTTCGCGTTTGCTCTTTGCTGCTAGTCTCTCGTTTTCTGCCGAGCCCTCCATTGTAGTCCTGTGGTTGCTGGCTCCCAGTTTTCACGCGTTCGTTTGCCCGCCTGCGTCTCATTCGTCGTCAGTGTACCGTACCGTACGTACGTTCAGTTCAGTTGAAGCTGGGCCCTGGGTCGTTCATGCGCATGCGCCCTCGTGTGTACCGTTCGCCTCTGATCTCGAAATAGGTCAATTGGTCCCAGGAGCACTCGATAATCGATTCTGCGTCGTTCAGGCGTCATCAGTCACTCGTTCTTGTCCTGACGCTCTCGTTCTGGATCTTCAAATCTCATCTCATCGCTCGCCTTGGAGCCAACCATCACCACCTCGTCTCGGACCCAATCAAAGCCTGCCAGCTGTCGCGCGCGCGCCTTCAACTTGGCTGGCCGACCCGTAGAGTCGCCCCTCTGCGGACCGAGTAGCCTTTCGCCTCCTTTCTCTAGGCTGCTCTGGCTGCCTCTCATCGGGCTGCATTGCGCGAGCTCCTGCGCTGCGCCGTGCCGCAACGACCTGCACTGCACTTCGCTTCGTTCCCGCCGTGCGTCTCTCTGCAGCTGTGGATCTCGGTACCGGTTAGTCCAGCCAACCTCTTCATTCTTGCCTCCATTTCTCCTGTTTCCCTGCTTCCTCCTGATCTGCTCCTGTCCATGACGCCTGTCACTCGTGCTTTGATTCATATGCGAGGCTATTCCCTTCCCACCCTCGTCGCCCCTCTGTTCCCCTGGTCGACATATCGAGACTGAACCAATCCCCTAGTCTCAGCCGTGGACCCTGCTTCGACTATCCCCTTGAAAGTCTGTGCTGGGCCGCATGGCGTCCTCCGAGGTTGACCAAAAGTTTCTCGGCAAGCTGGCCAAAGCTGTCGAGAATGACAATCCCCTCCTGGCCTCGATGCTCTTTAAGATTCTGGGCTTGTCTCTGAATCTTGCTGAGCAGCTTGTCGCAGCAAAGAAGCAGCGCCGTCCCGACTATGAGCCATCCCCCAATGCCGTGCGTCGCATCTTGCGCATCATCTGGCTCTCCCGCGAGGGCAGGACAATGCTCGAGCAGTACGTCATTCCCATGGTTGGAAACTATGGTGAACTCAAGGTTCTCGCCTACAAGCTTCGTGCTTCTTTCTCTCACATCTATGCCCTGTTTGGCAACCAACCTGTAGTGTCAAACTTGGGCAGGTATACGCCAGACGTCACAGCTACTCTGACGCCACAGTTGGACAAGGGAAAAGGACGAGCCATTGACTTGGAGGCTGACTCGAGACCTTCTTCGGTACAACCGACTCACCCTCTTGAGGGAGGCCCTGTTATGCCGCCTCCAGGATTCGAGGACCGAAGCATGCCTCTCTCCCCCAGCTTTCTCATTCCAGCCAAGGACTATCTCCCAGAGGCAAAACAGCACTTCCTCGAGGCCATCCACCTTGCCGACTCTCTTCTTTGGGGATCACACTCTCTCCGACTCTCAGTCAAGACTGAGTATGCCGCCTTCTTGTACGAATGTGTCCACGACGCCGAGGCAAGCCGGAAGCTCGCCAAGGACACCATCGCGGAAGTTTATGAAGCTACCGAAGGAATGGACGACGACATGTTTGGCGACGCTTGCGAATTGGTTACGGTCCTTGGCAAGATGATGAAGCGTGGTCTCGGGTCCAGTGGCAACCTGCGCGGTAGCAGAGCGTCGGCATCAAACCAGAGCCCTGCGCCTGGAATTACCGCAGTCCCCGGGATGGAGAACCCTATATGAAGAGTCAGCCCGGGAGATTTGTTGGAAATTTGTAATGCTTTGATCGCGGGCGCATAATCGCGAGCACCCTTGGGAGGTTGTGGGGGCCAGGGAGAAGCTTCACGTCGAGTCTGGATACTTGCTCGCGGCATGGGCAACTTGATGCGAGCAGGGACAGACTGACACGACACTGCTTGGATCCAGGCATTGATTGCACCACACCAGAGCTGGAACGACGGCGGATGATTTTGAGTCACGACGGGCGCGCCAAGAAGTCAAGTCAACACTTGGGGTTGAATCAGTTTCAGCGGGCCGTTCCGCACGGCACGGCACCACACACACGCGAGCGCGACACGGCAACGTGTGGGGATTCTCAGACATGATCAACAGGAGGGCTTAGACTGAATCAACTCACGGCACATACGAGTCCATCGATTGACCGATGGGCAAACCTGGACAGGACACACGCTCGGAGCTTCTCATGACACGGTTGAGAGGGAGGAACGACAGCATACCCTAGGTACGGCTCCGGATGTTGTTTCACGCAGCCAGTCAGTCTCACCATCCATCCCCATCTACTTGTGAGCCGTGGAGTGGACGCATCCATGTTGGCGCAACGCAACGCGAGGACTAATTTCCCCTTCGCGTTTGATGTGCATTTTCTTCTTCACTTCTACTCTGTTATTTGATACCCAAATACTTCCGGACTCTGATATGCATGTGCGTTTACTTTTCTACGTATTCATCTATTGATGATTTGTTTTCATGTGGTAGGGTCTCGGCTGTTGGTGGCAGGAAAATAGAACAGAAGGTATCACAGAGGGAGGAGGTTCTGTTTGCATTGGCTGACTGATTTATTTATTTATTGATTGACCGGGCTTGTCTGATAGATGTAAGAGTACCTAGCATGTTTATTGACAATACCCAGGACGTTTGCATCGACACGTGGATTATCTGAGTTTGGTCGAACGAGTCTTGTTTACTGTCTGTTTAATGTCTCTATGAAATCCATCGAAACACCATCCAACGAACATGAAATAAACGATCAAGATCCAATCCAACCCGGGAACAACTCTCTCTCTATAAGACTTGCGACAACACCACCGCCACCTGGCTATTCCCTCGATTATCATGATCCTTTTTTGAATCGTGAGAGACACTCACGCAACAAGATACTTGTCGGTTCACTCTGATCCTGCTCAAGACTCGGAATCCTCAGAGTCATCAGAGTCGCTAGAATCGCTGGAGTCCTCTTCAGAGTCCTCCTCACAATCCTCGCCAGATTCTTCGCCAGATTCTTCGCCAGACTCCTCATTAGACTCCTCAGAGTCCTCTTCCTCCTCGGGCTCACCGGAACCGCCGGACTCATTCTTCTCAGGGACGTCTTGAATCCACTCATTGACCTTCTGTCGGTCTTGCTTCTCACGCTCAGCGGCCTTCTTGGCACGTCTAGCCTCCTTCTCGGCCTCTTCAGCTTCGGCGCGCTCACACTTGGCTCGGATCGTCTCCAGAGGGATCAGGCGACCTGTGACGTTGTAGAAGTTTGCCTGCATTTCTAACCAGCGGCTCTTCTTGTATTTGGCGTCGATAGATCCGAGCAGCTCGCAGTCCTTCTTACAGAAATCCTTGTCCGGTTGGGGATGGATCTCAGGAGGATAGAGTAACTTGTGGAGATGACGCATTTTGGCGCGCTCGTGAGAATCATTGATAATGACCTGGGAATCAGAACTGCTGGACTCGACATCTGAAGACTCGGAAGATGCATCTTCACCAGAGGAGGAGTGGTCATCCTGCTGGGCAGCCTTGACCTTTGCGTTGGCCTTTGCCTTCTTGTTTTCGGCCGCAACCTTTTCGTTGCGGACACCGGTGTGCCACTTGTTGCGGCTAGGACTCTTTCCCTTGGTGTTGGCTTCGTACTCTTCTTCTTCCTCGTCATCATCATCAGATTCGTCATCGTCAACATAAGAATCTTCCTCAGACTCTTCGTCTTGATCATCATCGGAGTCTTGCTCTTCGATCCCGACTTCTTCCTCGAATTCTTCCTCGTCTTCTTCTTCGTCTTCTTCCGACTCTTGGTCGGTGTCAGTCTCCGATTCATCATCGGCATCGCCGCTGGTGTCATCATCTGAATTCGTAATGTCATCGGGAGAAGAAATCTCGGCATCTTTCTTGGTGGGAAGGTTCTTGATGAGGTTCCAGCGGGCAATCACCTCTGGCTTTTTCTTGCCGAGGGCGGTCGCGATCTTCTCCCAGGGGAGAGATGAGTTGCCTTCCTTCATTCCGCGGAGGAGACAGTCCTGGGAGATCGACCAGTCTGGGTCCTCGTTGACTGAGCTTGCTTCAGCCTCTGAAGTTGAGGGCTCGTCACTCTGTGATTCAGACTCATCCTCGGTAGAGTTTGCATTGGAGGATTCGTTGTTGTTGGCCTTCTTGGCCTCGGACGGCGTCTTGCTGCTGTCTTCGTTGGTTTGGGTCTCGGACTCGCTGTTCTCGGCTTGGGTAGAGCCATCGTCTTTGAAACTGACGGTACGACGTGTCGCCTTTACACATTTGCCTCTGGGACACTTCTTGTTGCATCCCTTGACACAGGTGCTCCCGTCCTGCGAAGAAGGGTCGATAGGGGTACCGTCCAATTCGTAAGGAGCCTGAACAAGAGGTGGGCTGACGACTGCTCCATTCAGTTCGTAAGAAGGCTGAGCAGCTGGAGCCCCCTGACCCTCGGATCGTCCTGGTGCAGCAGGATCGTAGCCTCTGACGGCTTCGGCGTTGGCTACATGGAAGATGATTCGCGGTGGCAAGGGCGGCGGACGTCTACCACGACGCATACGACGCATGATGAAAGAACAAGCTGTTCAAGTATGCTGTTGGTTGCGCGTCTCGTATTGAGATGAAGGAAGATGGATGATCGGGCCCGACAGTACTGATGACTTGAGCACGGTAACAGGCGAAAAATATCAAAGACGACGGTCGATGATCTTGGTTGCAATGTGCCTTGGGCTTTGTGTCGGGGATGTAGGAGGATGACGAGCAGAAGACTCTCTTGGCTTTGGGTGAAGGATAGGAGCGGGTTCGGAAGCACTAAAGGCTCGAGCGATGGATCTCTGGAGCGACCCCTGTGGTGATGGATGAAGGATGCTTCGCGGACGAGAAGAAGCGTCTCCAGGAGAAGGTTCAAGGGTAGATGGAAAGCATCAACGTCTTATGCTCGGTCGCGGTATCAGAGGAAACGAGGGCGCGATGACGACGCTTCGAAGTGAAGCAAGATGATTTGGGGAGAGGGAAAGGGAAGGGTATTCGAGATGGTATGAAGGTGAATGAGAAGAAGTACAAAGATCTGCCGCCCGATCGCGGGATCAGACAAGAACGAGATTCGCGGCGATGCTCCGAGTGGTGAATGAAGATGCTGTGGGCGTTAGAGGAGAGAGAGAAGAGGAGGGAAGCGCCCTTGGGTAAGAGGGCAGGGTCGTCGCTCTAACTCGATCCAAGAGATGAGGAGTACGTGATATTCCAAGTTGATAATGGTGATCAAGAAAGGAAAGACAAAGAAATAACACCCCCAAGATCTCGCGATGCTTGAAAGGGTTGTGTTGTGTGTGGGAGGAGGAAAGAGGAAGAGAAGAGGTTGGAGAGAGTCGAGCTTTTTGAAGTATCCCAAAGCTGGCAGAGAACAGCTGCCGAGCAGTGTTCAGGGGCCGTCTCTAGTATCAGACGAAGAAGTGCGGTATTTGGCAGTGGCAGAAGCTAGGAGAAGAGTGGTATGCACACGACGCAAGAGTTTATGCTCAACACCAGAAGATTATTCAACAGAACAACAAACAATTACGTATTTATCTAGAGTTCATCAAATACTGCTTGGCTACTGTTTAGGTCATCTACGAGTTGTTAATGCCGGTCGTGATGCTTCTTGTTGTCGCTATTGTTGACCAAGTGATACTCTACTCCCCCGCCGCCTTGACACCTCCGGCTACTAAGCATCGACAGTGATTCACTGCCTAGCAGAGCACAATACAGCACCGTCAACATCAATAACTATTGTTCACGGTGCCATTCTCCTTTTCAGGGAGTCAAAGAGAGTCTTGGGCACAATCCAGAGAACAATGGTTTCAATATAACAGGATTCAAGTCCCAAAACAACACCACAAGTCACAGAACTTAGGACACAATTCAAAGACTATTAATCTCTTAAGGTAATAGCAAAGTCCAGATCAAGTATATTGCTCTCGCGATAGACCTTAGTCTGATCACGACCCAATGGGGCTGTCGCCATTTTCGCTGACTCATCCCGCAACTCGCTCAACATCAGGATATCGCTTGACTCGCACTACCTCTTCTCTATCTTCATCTCTCGAAACACCACTCATTCTATCAAACACGCATTTAGGTTCCGAAGACCCAAGTTGAGACTCTATAAGGAGTTCAAGAACCAACACAATGCCCGACTCCTCCCCTCCCCTCCCCGCCGAGTACGCCCGAGGCCTCGAGCTCATCGATGCTGCCCACGCCGAGGACCCGAGGACAGCTTCAGGGCCCGATGGAACCACTCTTCCCTACGAACTTGACTATGCTCGCAAGATGACCAAGTGGCTTGCTCTCCGATCCCCATCCGCTAGCCCTGTGCTCCAGCTCGCCTGTCGAGCTCAACACTTTAGGAGGTTTGTGCCCTTTCCCAACTCGTGATGGCTTCATGAGACTCACTAAATTCTCATAGATGGGAGATCCCTCGAAGCAGTTATCCCATGACCCGTCCTGGCTATCTCACTTGGCGCACAAAGCTCAAGGCCCAGGCCGCCGTTCAAGTTGCCGAGTTGCTGGCCTCACCAGAAATCCAACCCCCGATCCCCGAGGAGGATCGAGCCCGTGTGGCCGCCCTGATCCGGAAAGAGAATCTCAAGGCAGACGAGGAAACTCAGGTTCTCGAGGATGTGGCCTGCCTGGTATTCCTTGATGACCAGTTTGACGACTTTGAGAGCAAGTCGGACCTCGACGAAGACAAGATGGTGAATATTCTTCGTAAGACCTGGGGCAAGATGGGTGAAAAGGGACATCAACTAGCCCTCGAGATGAACCACAGTGATCGAGCCAAGGAGCTGATAGGAAAGGCACTCGCCGGATGAATCAATATTACCCATAAAGCTTCTGTCTGTTGGCTCAACACAACACAGCCTTCTGAGTGCTGCGACTCCTGCATACCATGTGCATCTGCTTATCAGCTCTGTTATTCACAACTATGGCATAGTCCAGCCCATCCAGAAATCTGTCTACCCTTTGCTTGGTTGTCTCCCAAGTTAGGGAAGGGTAGAGGCAAGAGGCAAGAGTCAACTAGACGATAGCGGAATCCACCTCGCACAATAGAATGTCCAAGATTCTAACTTGCCTCTCCCCTTGCATAGCATCACGTAGCCATGATGGAGCTCGGCGTCGACGAACCAAGAAACCTGCCTCTACCCTAGGAATTCTTGATTAGAAGGGAGAAGACGGTGACCACACTGTGCCGTACTTAGGTAGCACAAGGCCAAGGGCGGCAAGGCAAGCCTCAACGCCTCGTCCAAATCTTCATCATTGATGGCTTCCTTGTCAATGAATCTCATCTGATCTCACGCGTCATAATAAAAAGTCCGTAAATTTTCGGCCCCGAAATCGCTGCCGATCCAACATGAATCAATGTGCATGCATGTATGTGCATGTCGAAGACAATAACGGCAACAGAGCAGCCACCCCCAAGCATCCATCTCTTCTCTCGTGTTACACAAGGCCAAAATCCCTGGTCGTGGCGTCCTTGCATCGGAAGCCAGGACGCGGGCCCGTTTGCCAGTTTGAGAGATGGCCACCTGTGGCGTTGGCAACGGCCATCGAAATATACTCATTGGTCGTGTCCTTGTCCTGTCGAGTCTGCCCCTGGCTCGTTTTATGCCATGTCATGTCGCCAGCCTTACACGCTTCACCTCTGCCGTGCCCCCTGGAGGCTTGAGCCCACGAGCTAGCGTCCAACAACACCCTGGGGATCGTCCGTGTAACCGTCGGGTTCGCTGTGCTGTGCTGTGACGAGATGAGACTGCTGGCCTGGCCTTGTTTCGTCTGGGGTAACACAAGAGATCCAGCGTGCCCTCGATCCAGCACACCGCAGAACGTCACCGTCATCAGACTGACATTCCCAGGGTCCTGGGAACTACCTTTTGTTCTGACATGGAAACTTCCCGATATCGTATTTGACAACCGCATCGCATCGCAGCTTGGCTTGGCATGACATCCAATGGACACGCCCTATACACCCTCAAAGCTGCCTCCTGTCCTGTGACGCTCCGTGTCTTGGCTGTTGTGTTTCCTGTCCGCCTTGTCTTTCCTCTTTCCTCTCCAATCCTTTGGTTGAGCTTCCGGAACCGTGCTATGTTTATCTGGAGCCCATCCCTCACCGGGTGAGATCGTCGGGTCGATTTGCATTTGGCAGCATCGCCATTAATACCCTCCTCTCCTCTCCTTGGCCATCGACTGGGCTTGACTCGACTCACTCCGCCTCACCATGCTGTAATGGTGCGTCGAAATGAATAACATCAGTCAAGTTCAAAGTCGTCGGCATCTTCTCTTTCCGAGTGTACGTTTGAGACAGCCTTGCAAGGGGCCCGACTCCCTTATCCTCCACTCAATCTCCAAGGAGCAGTCGCATATTGCCCAGTGAGTCTTTGTCGCATCGTCATGTGGCCCCGTCACTGACTGGTCAGCGTGAACGCTGGTGAGCTTGGTGTTGCTACGGCCCCCAACTGAACCAGATTGGATAGTCGATCGAGTTGATCGTCTTCCAGCATCGCAACCATTGTCCCGATCGAGTGTCAAACTCGTCCACCACCCTGCAAGGGAGCCTGTCAAACTTTCATTCGCTCAAGTTGACAGGTCGCATCTGGTTGCCACACCGGATCTGAAAGCATAAGCTCATGATTCGCCAAACGACACCTGCAACTCCTCATGTCCATCCGTCGACACACTTTTCTCCCCTGCCATGCCACCCTGCAGCTTTCAGCTGGATCCAGGCCCAGGGTTGGGTTTGCTTTGCTTTGGAGCCTCAAAACTCAAACCCGCAGTCGAACCTCGTGGCCAAGGCTCCTTGGGTTTCGTTCCGTAACCATGATGCGAGACGCCCAGACTTGCCTTGCTTACCGGGCCATGTCCACGCCGCGCATGCATCAAGGAGCCTCGGCTGGCGGCCTAGACAGCTCGCTGCCGCTCGACCAAACCGCATGGGTGGCGCCTGCTGCGCTAACATGGCGGATAGACTGCATCGCGCCGCTTCCTGGTGCTTTCGACTGCGTCCTGGTTGCAAGGGTCGACCATATTGAAACCCTTTAGCCTCTGTCCATTGATTGATATGCCAACCGGGCGAATATGGGTCTCTCCTTGGAACCAGAATTGCTTGGCCGTTGGCAGGGAACCGACAGACCCGGAGCAGAGCAGCTTCTCGAGATACATGGACCAGTCGCCATATGGTTGTGCCAAACGAGTACCAGCAGCACGTCCTCGTTAGTTTGGAAATAACACATCCAACCCTTGCAACCCCTCCCGGGGCCGGCACTGTGGTCGACACCGATCTGTCTGTCTCGGGGGCGTGGGGACATGGCAAGCTCTTTGCTTTTTCAACCAAGATCTGGCGGTGCTAGACGCAGCTGAAAAGTGCGTCACCCGTGATCCAACTACCCAGATAGCACGAGGGCATTGGACAGCGGCCCGGTAGCGTGCTGGCGCGTTCATCTGGCGCCGGCCCCTGTTCGACGGGCACATCGATGGAGTCCGAAGGGATGGTAACCGCGCCGCCACACCTGCGGAGCTAGTCGTAGATCCCATCTCAAGTCTCTCCCAGCACTTGTTGGCCGCCTTCAATCACCTGGGACCACCCTGGGAACGCCAGGGGGTCGCCGCCAATCAGCAGGGCTGCGCGGCGCCCAGTCCTTAGGTCCCCTGGTACCGTAGGGCTCTCGTCTTGACATGTCCGCGGCGGTTCAGCGGCCATTGTCGCACACGCCCAGCTGGTAGATATCTGATCGCCGGAGCTCCAAATAGAGTCGACTGGGAGTACTGTAGTGTGGCTGGTGCGATATACGTCTCTATCCAGATTGTTAATATGCCCGAGTCTGGAAGACAAAAGACTCCCGAGAGACAAGCATGGATGCCCACTTGCACGATTCGAGTGGACCGGCTAGTGGCGAAAAAGCCATCAAGGGGCCGGCTGACATCAAGCAGATTTTTCTTTGATCCTTGAGCTGTCGGTCGTCGACAGCCTGGTGAGTCCGATTCCCCTATTCCTGGCGTCTTGTCTGACCTGCTGGAATCGAGAAGCCCAGCTAAACTGCTAGGACAGCGCCCAGTAGTCAACTGCCTGGAACATATTCGTTTTGGCAACAAATGATCCCCGACTAATGTCAATGATGAGCAGTCGATGAATACAACCGAGGCAAGGAGTATCTTTTCTCGAGCACAGTGGCAGAGAGCTGAGCCCACGCCCCACAGACAATGCATCGTCATCGTTGCTGAATGGGGCTTGTCACCCGCGCAGTGTATCATCGCCATTCCATCCTTGATGGCCTGAAGGGAAGATCAAAGGGTCCTTTTTGGCCACACCGGCGTTGACCAACAGTTCGTTTCATTCGGTTCGTTGTCCCGCTCAAGTCACCAGTCATATCATAGCTGCAGCACCCAAAGCTGTATGGTACGGTATGTACATGTATGTGGGTGCTGGCTGAGGGAACAGGTCGATTTCCAATCGACCGGGTCCATCGGGGACGAGTGTGACATCGTCTCCAACTTGCTTTTTCCATTGCTTTTTCTTGTTCCGATAAAATGTGTATCCTTGCTGCTGGGCGAAATCCCTCCTTTAGCTGTGTGCCCTTCATGACTTGCGATAGCAAACCTGAGCCGTGATGTGATGGGCGAAGCGGGAATAGGGGCAGCTCATCTCGGTCCCGTCAAGGACAATAGTTTGCCGAGGACCTGCCTGCGGTGGCCGTTAGTCGTATTAACCGCCGGCCAAGAAATTATTGACGATTGATCCTGCTCCGCTCGAGTCAACTAACACCGGGTGCATCCCGGACTGACGCTGCTGAGGTAACTGAGTGCATTTCTGCCGTCTCTGGGCTGTGAGAAAGCACTTGATAATTACCTGGGAACGGGCCTCGAGGAGGCAAAAAGCTCGTCTATCTCGAACGGGCATTTAGATCTGGCCACTGGCCAACCAGATCTAGAGGTCAACCCCCTGCTACGCCTCAGCTCTGGGCCCTAGTAAAGACGGCCAGCTAGTCACAAGCCTCTTTCCGCGTCCCCGTTGTGTGTCTTGAGCTTGACCAGGGTCCGTTAGACGGTGCTCAGCCTGGGTTTGCCTTTGTTGAGTAATAATTAAATTTGGCGGGCTCTGACGTCGATTCCGTGGTTGGTCGCAGGCTGATAGAGATCGGGGCCGGGACCCAAGCCCACGGTACGGCACCACAAGCCTGCATGCACAACAGTGAATGAATGCCTGCACGAGGGTACATAGTATACCGCGCGTGCTATACCTACTTGCGGTTCCCTTCCCGGGCTGCAAGGTGATGAGCTTTTGGCGCAGCCGTCGAGGGATAAAGAACCATGGGCCAGCCACCAAACTATTCAAGCGGACGGGAACGCCGCTTGTCTTAACAGGGATTGAAGCGTCGCCTCGGCAGTCATGACATCCAATGCTTCCGTACGCGCGCGGACACAGGATTTCCAGGGACTCAGTTGCATGTTCAGAGTAGACGTAGCTCTCCCGTCCGCGGGAGATGATCGCCCAGGTGAGAGGCCGTCCGTGGGATGTTGCTGTCCTGGGTCGGTAGCCGAGACCTGAGGGAGGACCCTTGCCATGCTGCATCCACGACGAGTGTGTGGCGACGCAAGGCTGCCGCAGGTCGACATGTACATGATGGATGGCAGGCTTGTGCAGCCCCAAGGGTCCTCTCGAGGAGGTAAGGTGAGCGGAAACTATCCATTCTGCGTGCTCCGTACCGTATATACCTGCATACAGCAGATATTCGAAGCGGACCCGGACGGGCGACGAGGGCGTGTGGGCTGTAACCGTACCACCGTAGCTGGGCGTGAGGGTGGGCGCCGGCGCGAACGTGGGTCTGCCCCAGGGGAAGGGTATCGAATCGGCGGGTTTAGCCGGCAGTTGATGATGGACCTGGACCTGGACCGTCCATGGATGAATGATATGACAGACATGCCTGGGGTGCTGAAGAAGAATGGACGAGGGTCAGGAGGAGCAAAATAGAAGCTAGTCTCGCCTCTGACTATCACTTGTCACTTTCCCCTCGTGAACTCGTGATTCATTCGGCCGTCTGCCCATACAGGGAAAAGGGAGACAGGAAGAAGGAAAGAAGGGTCCAGGTCCAATAGTAGCGTGTTAGGGCAGGTCAGATCAAGGTTGGTTACGTACCTGCCTAGAGACGTCAGGTCCGAGTACCTAGGTTCTAGGTTCGGGAGGGAGAGACCGAGTGAGAAAAGAAAGGTAAGAGCTGGGCTACCTAACACAACCTCTCACTCAACCTTACCAGGCTGTCTGTCTTTCTACCTACCAACGACATCTACTCGGCCAATCTCAACGCTTAACCTCATCCGAGTATAATACCTGTTGAAACCCCAGACACTCTTTCTCGCCACCTGCCTGTTTACCGCTCCTCTCGAGGCACCTTCCTGCATTAGATCCCGTTGCTGATAGAGGCAACAACGTCCTTGGCAACCACCAACCACCAACCCTCTCCTCTCGCGCCTTCCTAGGCTTGGACTTGGATCCGCCTTCAGTCCCGTCGGCCCATCTTTCCATTCTCAGTCATCTTACACAAGAATCCTCTATCTCTCATCAACACCAACATCTTGGAAAGAATCCCGACCAACTCTCGTCACCTACTCCATCTTCATCTCAGCACTGTCCAACCAAGGCTTCATACACATCGCTGCATTCTTGGCTGGTCACGCTCCAGAAATATCTTTACCAGCCTAACCCTGTCTGTCTCCTTACATACAGACTCCATCCTGCAGACAGGTCCAGGTCCAGGCAAGGGTCTCCTTGGGTCGAGATTCGTCCTGCTGCTTGGCTAGGGTTTAATACGGACATCCAACTACACCAACCATTCCGCGCCTTGGTCGCTCCTCTACGTCCTCCTTACGAATTGACTTACACGGGGATCCATCTACAATCCACTCGACTCTGACCCGGCAGCTCACCCCCGACCAATCACTAGTACAGCGCTTGCAACCGCTCTCAGCTGTGCGCCCCATAGCCGTCGCCCTCTCCTTGCCCGTTGCTTTCACCGCTGACGCCGCAGTCGCTGCGCTGCGCTCGCTGCAGTCACTGTCTGCGAGGCCTGCAACCTCCCTGCTGATCCCGTACCCCGTACTGGGCCGGGCCTGTCTCAACGGTGCCGAGTACTTATCCGCAGCTTAGCTCCTCACCTTTCCCTGACTGTGCGGCTCCAATCTCGAACACTTGCCAAGTGTCAGTCCATTTGTTCTTACCTTGGGTGGCTTTGCCATGAGAGACACCCCTTCTGCTTTACACCACCTTTTCCACAAGTGCTCCTGATTCGAGGTCACTGAGAACTGTGACGGAGAGCATGTCGAATGCCCCAGCCCTATTCTGAACCCACTACCGTCAGCCATCATGTCCATGCAATTCCAAAGCGTACGTGGTCTATCCTTAACCCCGCTTGCTGGCTCTTGGACCGGCCCTTGGCTTCTCCAGTCTCAGAGCTAGTCCTACCTAAACTAACTTGTCGATACAGCCCTTTCAAGAGTCACAGTTTGACATCTTTGAGTGGTATCCCCAGTTCCAGTCCTGCCTCCGCTACTTCATCGACCATGCCCAGTACAGCGCTCCCGTCCAGACTGTGGCCGCTTGTGTCAACATTCTCCTGCCCTTCCAGAAGGGAACCTCTCCTCCTGTGACACCTACTCGCTCCGGACCAGGTCCGTCGGCATCAGCCTCCGGTGGTATTCCTCTGGGCTTGCCGAGGACCCCAGTTACCCTGATCCCCTACATTCGCCGTCTTGTAGTTACTGGCTTCGACTCTCCTGCTGTTCTTCATGGCTTCTTTGGCGATGACTGGCTGCAAGGAATCGGGCCCGTCCACGAGAGCGAACGCAGAAACTACTTATTTGCCGCAAAGAGTGACAACTGGCTCAAAGTCAAGTCCCAGTACGACATGGCGGACGGGCAGACAGTTCCCTTCTTGAGGCCTTTACAAAACGTCACCGAGGAGGAGATACAGGCAGCCGAATCAAACTGGAGCGAGTGGCTTGCCATGCAAGACTGGATGCTTGGACCTAGAGCTCCTCCAGACGTCGGCGACCGACGAGTCAGGGTCAAGAAGGAACAAGACTAAAAACAATATAGAACGAACCCGGCGCGAACAAGAACGAGAAGCACGTACACGACATCTACGATATAACGCCAACTAGGGGGAGGGGCAAATCTGACTTCGAATCTACCGAGTTGTCTTGATAGGAGAAGACGTGGAGGGGGATCAGGATAATACGGCAGAGAAAGGGTTTTGTACACAACATGGAGAGAGTTAGGGAACCAGTACCTACACTCCAGCTCTGTTTTACCATTGCTGTCATTGCATACTCGAGGACTCAGGTTATAGAGATGTGTCTAGTCTGGATGGATAGGTAGCGTCGACGCTGAACTTCATTTTGGTAGAGTTGCCGCAAACTCCGTGTCTATCATGTTGGGCTGGTTGGTATATACAGGAGAATGGCAACCAGACGACCCTTGTTCCAGCCGATTAAAAGAGGAGAGGAAAAGGAAAAAAAAAAGTCATGGTAATGGCCGGTTGAACGCCCCTTGGAGGCCCCCTGAACGTTTGATGAATGCCCCCCCTTCTCGCCTTTGGTGTACCTAGTAAAACAGAGAGCCCAACCCCTTTTTGGCTGTTGAAAAAAGAGAAATGTATTATAGTATCAATCAATCAACCCATCAGTTGAGGAAGCCCTTGCATGCCGCCGTGCCACAGAGACAGGGAATACGGTCGAGGCTACCGATTTCACGCTCGAACTTGTAGTCGTAGGTCAACTCTTCGTCTGTAGGTAATAGTGTTAGCAGATATTCTATTAGAGACTTGGAAACTGGAGGACGTACTCATAGCGATGTCGCGCAACGCGTAGATGACGATGCGCTTGCTTCCCTCGACCTTGATGATCTTGGCGGTGCAGTTGGGCATGCAGCTGTGGTTGATGAAACGGGCGATGCCGCCCTTCTTGGTGGCGTCAATGACGGTGTTCTCGTCGATGCGGAACAGGTAGCTGCTGCCGATGCCACTCTTAAGATAGCGATTCTCGCGAATCTCGGCAATCTGCTGCCGCACCTCCTCTCCGACGTACTCGATGATCATGTCGTCCTTGGCAATGTTCTCCATGGCGTAGAGGCCCCAGTTGTGGATGGCGGAGCGGGCAAACTTGACGGGCTTCTTGCGCTTCTTAAGCTGGTTGAACTTGAACACGTCCGAGTCTTGACCCAGAGTCTTCTTCTGATCGTTCAGGTCTGCGACGTAGCGCCGGTTAGTAGCACGGTTCGCTCGCGAGTTGCCCTTGGCGATGAGCTTCTCGGCCGCGAGCTTGGCCGCCTCTGCCGCTGCAGCCGCCGCGTCCTTGCCAGACTTCTTGAAGCGCGCCTCGCGCTCTTGTCGGGCCTTTTGCACCTTGATGTGGTGAGGCAAGTACTTGGACTTTTCAGAGTTGAGAATCTTCTTGACGCCCTCGGTACGTGCGCAGCCAGTTGGGTTGGGGACATAGTAGCCCTCGATCGACACTGGTTTCTCGAGTGTGCCCTTGGTTGAGTTAAGCTCCCTAATACGATTACGCTTCCACAGCCACAACTCGGGGTCGCCAATGTCCTTGACCGCAAATCTCTTGGAGAGCTTTGCAACATCGGGCTTGTCGTTCACACCAAGGGCCAGTCCTTGGAAGAGTGACAAATCTGGCTTGAAGCCGTCAGGTAATACCAGCGCTGGTGTCAGAGGTTCCGTCGACAAGAGCTTCTCATCATACTTTTCCACAACTGGCTCTGGAACCGGCTCTGCAACAGGCGGCTTCTCTTCAACCTTGGGCTCCGCCTTGGGCGCTTCCACGACTTCATCCTCATCACCACGCTGAGAATCCGTCTCGGCCTGGCGCTTTAAGGCCTCGCGTTCCTCAAACACAGCCTTCTTGGTCTTCTTCTTCGCCTTGGCGGGTTTCTTCTTGAGCGTCTTTCCAATCACCGAGGCAGGAGTTTCGGACCGTGATACTCTGCTCTCGAGGTCGTCACCGGTTTCCGGCTCCGGGATAATGTCCACAGAATCTTCCCGAGCGACGAAGCCTGTGCCAAGCTGTCCGAGCTTGACTCCGAAAAGTTCCTCATCAGACTTCTTTTGGCGCTTGAAGGCGGTTTCTACCGAGGCATCGAGCTTACGCTTTCTGGAGATCAACGGATCTGTAATGTGGAAGCTGGCCTCCGTCATCGAGTCGTCCTCCCCAGGTCCCCAAGAGGCAAAGTCATCCTTGGAAGCTTCGTCGTCGGTGCTCATGCGACTGCGAGGACGAGATTCGGGCTCCTCAGTCTCGCGAGCGAGGAGCGCCCGAGTGTCGGTGTCGTCATCGGACTCAACGTCACTATCCAAGCTCCGCAGACGGTGGTGAAGGGAACGGAAAGCATTTCGGGCAACAGGTCGTTGACGTGCGAAGGGATCGATAAAGGCGCTCCGCTGGGCCTGGCCCTTGACCTTTGTCTTTCGAATTCTCGGCAAGGCTTTGGGTTCCAGGCGGCCGGTTCGCCGCTCGATGGGATCGGCCCGTGAGTTGGGGGTTCCCACGCGTGAGCTATCATTGCCGTCCTCGATACTCGGTATCTCCTCGATATCGTCAGGGTGTTCAATGTTTAGCTTTCGTCTCTTAGCGACGTGGTTGGCAGGATCCAGGAATTCCGAGAGAAAAGGCGCGGCGACCTTGGTGCGGATGTGTCGAATGAGATGCTCAGTCATCTCACGACGGACAACCTCCACAGCCTCAATCACCGGGTCGAAGTTCTTAGCCCTCTGCTTTTTTTCTTCTTCGAGGTCTGCCTCCTCTTCTCTTCGCCGCCTGTCTTTCTCATCGCGCTGCCCTGTCTCACCACGAGGCTTTCGATCAGGGCTCGCACTGGCCTGCCGGCGACGCTCTGGGGACTCGTCTGACCGGCGAGGCCGAGGCAGGCAGAGCTGCATGGTCATGTCATAGTTGAAGAATTCGGTGTGATTAACAGCGCGAAAACATCTTTCAGCTTCAGACTTGCCAGTAAATGAGTTGCGAAAGACGATGTAGTATCCGGACTTGTCGAGGCGAATGTCTTCGAATCCGTAATTCTTTAGCCGCTTCTTCATGTGCGGTACAATGCTTGTCAGAACGGGGACACTATCGCCTGCGATGTAGATGTATGGGTCGTCTGTAAGTTGGGAGGCCAGATTCTTGACCTCAACCGCAGCATGACCCTTGGGTTGGACTGGAGTTGTCGTCGGCTGCGGGGTGCTGGGCGCACCAGCAGGCCTCTGAGCTGCTGGTCCCTTGGGAGCGGTCGGAGGAGGTCTTGTGAAGTTCGACGCTGGTGTGGATTTTGGACCGATCGGAGGTGCCTGGACTGCTTGAGCAAGCCTCTCTTTTTCCTTCTTCTCCATCCTTTCCTTTTCCCTCCTGAGATGCTCTTCAAGCATTCGTCGACTCCTACGTCCTTCAGGATCATAGTCAACACGAACGACGTCGGCATCGACTTTGATGCCACGAGTTCGCACAGCTCGGCGAGCAGCATCGATGGCGGAAACACGGGGTCGGTCGGGGCGCTTCGAATCGCGGTAACGGATGGTTGCGAAGCCGAGGTAGCTGCCAGTCTCTGGGTGCATCTTGTTGCTACTCTCGGCGATCTCGCCAAAGGTGGCAAAGATGGCTGTGACCTTGCTGAAAGGGACCAGCGGATTATACCTCGTCACGACGATCTGAGTCGGTGGACCAGGGCCAATCGAGGTCTTGGGGTCGTAGGGGTAAGGCTTGATGTTCTCAGGCGCTGGCCGGAGGCGCGCCTTGGGGAGGTAGTAGTCGGTGTTGATATAACCCAGACGACCTCCAGGCTTGGACAGCCGAGGGTCTGTTGGGGGGGCGTCATCGTCCTAACCAGTTTCATTAGCCATGTCTCTTCACCACAGATGACGCCCCCCCGAAGGGAGAAAGATATATAATTGTACGTACCCGACCGAACTCTTTATAGGTCGGTTTGGCGTTTCTGCTGACGCTCTTATTGTGTACTCGATCGAGGAGCGGATCATAGGTGCACTTGAGGCCCTTGACGGAGGGCATGGGATCTCGAGCCGGAGGGCGCTCAATGGCGAGGGGTCCGTCTGATATCGAGCCATTGGGACCAACGGCCGGGGAATTATGAGAGGATTGTCTCGCGGCCCGATCGGCGGCCAGGGATGCCGACATGTCTGGCTTTGTTGGGGCCGTAGCCGACGAGTTGGATGGCGAATCTTTGGATGCGATGGGAGTAAGGCTCGAGGTGGGGAGGCGGGACGAAGTGGCAGTCGCCGCGGCACCGTGCCGGGCGGACGTGCTGAAGATGGACGAGGCGGCGCTGCTGTAGGAGCTAGCCGAGTCGACGGTGCTGGGGATGTCTGCGAGGGGGGATCCGTTGTCGTCAGGGTGAGCGGAAAGGGTATCCGACACGGCAAGATGGCCGTTGGGGCCAGGGGCGGGCTGGGCTGAAGCATTCGCGTGGGCATCAAACCCAGCGGACGCTGGTGTCGGGTCGGAGGCGCCGCCGTTGATGGACGCCGACGACGACGTCGTCTTGGGACGGTCGCGATCCCGGTCTCGATCTGCGCGACTCTGAGCCTGAGCCTTTACCTTTGGAGCCGTCGGGAAGAACTGCGCGAAGCTCGCGCCTGGCGGGCGAGTCATCGTGACGATGCGCTCTTCCTATCTCCCCCCCCGTGCTCCGACCATGATATACCCAGCGTTGAAGCGTCTGGTACACACGGCACTGTGGAGGGGCTATTTCCACGCTGGTAGGTTCTCTGAGGCGATTTCAGACGGGTGGTTGTGAGCGCAGGAGCGAAGAGGCGGGCAGAATTAGGGCGCAGGAGGAGCCTTCACGCGACCGAGCGACGTTGCAGGTGAAAGTGTGGCAGAGGGCGGCGGAGCGGCGTCATCCACCAGCGCAGAACAGCACAGCAAACAAGGTCCTGCGGCGGTAAGGAGAAAAAAGTCGCCAGGGCCAGAGGGACCGGCGCCTTGTCGAGAAGAGGAAGCGAAGCGCGTAGCGATATCGATTGCGATGGCCGGTAGCAATGTCCAAGTCGTGGAGCAAGACGAGGAGAAT